AATTGAAGATTAGAATATCACATTGCATCAGAAACATTTTTATATGATTAAACAAGCCTTGGGGTCTCCAAAAAATATTATAAAGTTAGGAGGGAAATTAAGGACTAAATTAGAATTTAGTGTCTTGAGGGCAGTGATTTTTTTCTTTGTAATTCCAGTGTCTAGTAGAGTGCCAGGCACATGGTAGGTCTCCAAGAAATGTCTGTCTGGTGAATGAATAGAACTTGCTGAGCCAAGGAAAGGAGACACTAAAGTTTCCATAGACTTTCTAAAATGAGAATAGCCTAAAATCTGAGAGATGCTAAACCATATTAATAGAGTTTGGGCTTCCAGGGTGGTAGTATGATAGCACTTACTACAGCAGATGCAGTATATTCCTATTGCACATGAAAGAATCACAGATCCTAAGATGGCGGCATAGAGCCAGAGCAGAAGATTAGATGGTAGTGTCTCAGCTGTGGAGGGAAAAAAATAGTGTTAGCTCTAATGTATTTTCAACTGCATGATACCCATTGTATGACCTTATATTTTGACAGAACTGTAAAGAATATTTTTCACTTCTTTGCCTGGTCAGCTCTGCAATACACAGCTGATAACAATTTCTTGCATAACTCATCAATCAGTTATTTACTTGTGGGCAACTAATATCCAGATGCCAGATGTTGAATGTAAAAAATAAATTTTGAGCTTTTGATGAGTTAAGATGGCATAAAAAGGACTCTAAGGAGATACTTTAAAAACCTCCTTTGTATCTCATTTTTAGAGCTGTATTATATTACTATGTATTACTATTAATAATTAGTTGATGTAGTGTTCTAGAGGGACCTTATTTTTACTTATCCAGCTCTATCATGCCTTCTCCCTCTCTCTTAACATGTTCTCTTAACACACACACACATGCCTCACAGTAGCTGCCTAAACCCATAGGAACCATTTTATATTCATTTTTCAGATACACATTTTTCACCATCCAGCCTAGAGAATTTCTAGAAGGCTAGAAGAGACCCAGCAAAGAACTAAGAGTGGATATAGCTTGGTATCAGGTCAGATGAACCCTGGAGGAGAGCTCTGTAAGCTAGCTATCAGCTGCAGAGCAGAGGGAACAGAGAAAATATAGGGACGTGAGGAAGAATGTAGGGAGTAAAAGGATGTGTGTGGTACTGCTCTGTCCCTCTTCTCAGCAGCAGCAGCTACACCATTTATTCTTCAACCCCTTTGAGGTATAGTTAGCAATAACATCTAAAGAAAGAGAAGGAACACAAATTTTAAAAATATCAGTAGCCTTGGCTGGGTGACTAACTTGGTCGGAACATCATCCTGTACACCAAAAGGCTGTGGGCTCAATCCCTGGTCAGGGCACATACCTAGGTTGTAGGTTTGATCCCTGGTCAGGGTGCATAGGGAAGAACTGATCAATGTTTCTCTTTGCATTAATGTCTCTCTCTCTCTCTCTCTCTCTCTCTCTCTCTCTCTCTCATCTCCTTCCTCAACCCCTCCCCCCACCACTCTCTCTCTCTTAAATTAACAAACATATCCTTGGGCAAAGGTTTTTTAAAAAGGAATATTAGTAGCTCATCCTCTTCTGATTTCTCTGAAATAGCTTATGACAAATATTGGACATCTACTAAGTAATTATTTCTCATTTTTATGATTACCAAGGCTTGTGGATAAATTTTGAAAGTTGTAAGCTTTCCCTTTTCAGACTTCCATGACAGCACACATTCTTTAGTTTCTGTTGTGACTCAGTTTTCTTTATAGACTGTCCTTCCTCTTTTTGTCCTTTAAATTTGATTGTTCCCCATGGTTCCATTTGTGGTTCCGTTCTTTTCTCACTGGCCCTAGTCCTGGGTGATTTCATCCACATCCAAGGTTTGAAACACCATCTCATTTCTAAATTTGTATATCATATTCCTGATCTCATTTCTGAACTCCAGATTTGTATTTCCAGCTGTCGACAAGATGGTTGGATGCCAGCATCTCCACTTGATTAAAACTGAGCACACTATATTCTTTCCAAAGCGTATGTATGACTTATAGTCTCACATTTCAGTGAAAGGCAACACCATTAATTACCCAAATAAGCGTGAAAGCTTCTGTTTGTGTCCAGCATGTTCCCATGGCCTTTCTATTCTATGTTCAGAACATCACCGCAATTGATTCCTTTCCCCCAAATCTCATGCAGCAACTGCCTTAGTTCATGTTTTTCTTATCTCCTACCTAGTAGCCTCCATACTGGTGTCTTTGCCTCTGTTTTCCTAGGCTCTAATTATTCCTGCACACTGCATTATCTATTCTAAAATGCACAATTGATCAGAGTGCACCTACCACTTAGAGACTAAGGAAAGTTGGATTTTTCTTTTTCTCTAAAGTACCAGCTTACATGGAGATATCCAGTGACTACCAGTGCTGGCCTTTATAGACCAGAGTGATACACAAAATAACAAAGAAGGTCTTGCTGTTATCTTGAGAGTCTAGAAGTTTCACAGGTTCCAACTCATTCCTGTCTTCCTCTGAGAGGCCACTCCCATCCATCCTCAAGCCTCACTTCAGCCTAGCGACAAGATGTGTGTTTAAGGGAAAGAAGGAGGAACCAGTAAGAATAAACTGCCTCTGCCATAATGCCTATTAGGAACCTGACAATACTCCAAGAACAGACCTAGAATCAACTGCAAAGTTAGATGAAGACATCTGTGCATATCGATAATTAGACACCATGAGTGGGACTCCCTGACTTATTCCTTTCTGCACACACACGTATGTCTTCCAGTACATCAAGGATTAACAAATTTGGCAAGCCCAGACTAAAAGTATCATAGACCCAATTTATTTAATTGATAAATATTGGGGGTTTTTTTTTGAGTGAGTGTTTATATAATAAAACTTTACTCACATTGACTTATAACATTTCTATGAACTATATACCTAATTTATGTTTGCTTATACAGTCTACCCATGGATGCATTATTTGCTTGGACTCTAAATGAAGCCTACAGTCCAATCAATGCAGTTTGAAGTATTTATACTCAATTTCTCTGACCATAGAGGCAACACTAGTATTTAGCAAGATACCTGCTATGTGATAACCATTTAAAGATTAAATGAAGGAAAGAATAAACATATACACTTAATCATCTCTTTATTAATCATTGTGAATGTAGACTAAATAGGGCAAAGAGCTTTTATTTTGAATTAGACTGCAAAGGGATTCTGCTCATCCTTAGCATGGAGGAAGAATCGAGAAAAAGCATATTAGGGAAAAAGTGATAAAAGTGGGCAGCCTAATAACATCATCTTTAAATAATAGTCCCATCTTTTTATTTGAAGGATTACATTCTATTTCCTATAAGTTAGCAAACGACAGTGCACAGGACAAATGAAGCTTGCCACCTATTTTTTAAAAGTAAAATCTTGTCAGAACACAGCAATGTTCTTCATTTATGTCTCATCTATGTCTGATTTCATGCTGTAATAACAGGGTTAAATTGTTGCAAGAGATTGTATGATCTGCAAGACTAAAGTGTTTATTATCTGGCCCTTTTCTGAAAAATTTTGCCAACCTCTCTCCTAGAACATTACATATACTGATGTTCCAAATGTAAATAATATCCAAAATAAAATATGATTGAAACTATTATTACTGATGTGTTTGCTACTCCCTGCCTCAGTCATAATCTAAAATTGGTTAAATAATGATAAATTAAATGAAAACTAATGCTGAATTAGTGAACTATCTTTATTATATGATTCAGCTCATTTTATACATTTTTGAGAGGACATAAAGATAATTGGGAGAAAAAGGAGATTGGATTATTCTTGAAATAATTTTCCTCAGGAAATTTTATATCATTACCTATTCAGGAAAATAATTAAAGAATCCATCTCAAAATGCAAAGATCTATCTAAAATATCTCCTTTTAGTCCTGGCTGGTGTGGCTCAGTGGACGGAGTGCCTGCCTGTGAATTGAAGGGTCAGTGGTTCTATTCCCAGTCGGGGCACATGCCTGGGTTGTGGGCTGGGTCCTCAGTTGGGGGTGCGCAAGAGGCAACCAATCAATGTATCTGTTACATGCCGGTGATGATTCTCTCCCTCTCTTTCTCCCTCCCTTCCCCTCTCTCTAAAAATAAATAAATGAAATCTTTAAAATAAAAAATAAAAATATCTCTTCTACTCCAAGTAAAGACAAGAGGAAGACATAAGACATATTATACGTTACATATTATACTCTCTATTACATGTTACTGTGTATCAAACCCAGTGTATTATTTATTACTGTGTAGCCACAAAACACATTGTTAGAAGTGGGGACAGAAGGTGAAAAAGAGGCCTGTTTGTTTTCCATACAAGTTAGACATGTGTTTCAAATATTTGGGTTTTGCTGTAACAACCCATTATGGGTTTGACAGGCATGAGTTTACATAAACCTAACCTCTTCCATTTTACATTTTTAGATGATTTTACTTCTTGGGAAAAGAGGATTTTATGAGTTTATGTGTAGGATAAAGTATCTGGTTATGGCATTTGCTTAAAAAAAAAAAAAAAAGGACCTCTTTTTTCAGGCACTGTCCACAGGTAGCCTGTCATTCACCTTCTTCACTGGGCTTGGTTCTGAATGAACCAGTAGTTCTTTAAAGCCATTGTCACCCACAAAGACAATGATTTGACCCCATGGGACCATGGAGAGGGGATGACCAACAAGAAACTGTCAAAACCCTGAGGGCAATTTCAAAGAAGGACAAATACTAGTGTTTTCAATGACAACAATATTGTTACAATAACTTATGAAGGTGACTCTTTGATAGACAGCCCTTATTTGGACTCTAAATTTTAGAAATTTTATTAAAGAAAATAAAATTAATCTAGTAACATTATAGTCACACCTTGTACAGTAATCTTAATGAGTCACGATAACATTTTATTATCATTTTATTTGCATGCCTAAAAATATTACAAAAATACAGTTAAAGCTCATATACACAATTCTAAACTGTATCTGGTTGAGCTATTTCCACAGTAGAAACTCCCCAGGAAGTGACTTACGTTTTTGCCAGTTGAAGATCTGTGACACTGTTAAATTTCCATACTTGACAAGACACACAAAGCTGTGGTTGTTTGTCACATTGAAATCCAGTTCACTGCTAATAGTGTAGAGCTCACTTTCAGGATCTTGGGAAACTGTTGTGTTGATGGCATTTAATTCTTTTCCATTTTCCAACCAGGAGAGGTGAGGCTTTGGAAAACCTCCAGAGGTTGAACAAATTATCCTTTTGATGTTAGCAGATGGATTTTCAAGCTCAGTTATAGTTGGGACAGGGAAGTCAGCTGAAGAAAGAACAAGGATACAGGTACATACGATTATATATCTCATTATATGTGAATACAAAAATGAGATATAATTTTCAGCTTCTCATAAGTCATTAATAGTTACGTATACTCCACAGACTAACTTTGGTTTGAATTGGTTATAGCGATTCTTTATTATTTTTGATAGAGGTAAGAGGGGAGTTATTAGAGAAAAAAAGAAGTAGGTTTACATGAATAAATATTGGCATAATACTTGCATTTATAAGAAGTGAAGAGAAAAATAAGAGACAACATTTGTTGAGCTCTTAATGCTTATTAGGTCTGGACATTCCCTAATTTTGTCTTTCAACAACCCTAGGATGTAGGTGGTAGATTTAAAAAATCAAATATCAGTAATTTCATATGATACAATTAGTAATTTCATAATCTAATACAATTTCTATTTCATAAATAACGAAGTTGAGGTCTAATCACAACCAATAAGTGGCAGAACTGGTACTTGAATCCAAGTTTTTCCTTCCTTTTCTTTTCTTTTTTAAGATTTTATTTATTTATTTTTAGAGAGAGGGGAAGGGAGGGAGAATGAGAGGGAGAGAAACATCAATGTGCGGTTGCCTTTTGCGCACCCCCTACTGGGGACCTAGCCTGCAACCCACGCATGTGCCCTGACGAGGAATTGAACCGCTGACCCTTTGGTTTGCAGGCCAGCACTCAACCCACTGAGCCATGCCAGTCAGGGCCAAAGCATTCCTTTCCTTTGCCTTCCTTTCTTTTACTTTTTCTTTCCTTTCTTCCTGATATTTAAGGTACACAAGCTGGCTCTCTTCTACTCATCTATTTATTAGTTAATATTATGTTAAGTATTAGGAAACAGCCACCCAACTTGAGAACCAGAACACTGAGAGTAACTTATTTAAATCTACTTGTATGGTCTCAGCTATCCTGTCTCCTACTTCCCACAACTAAGGTAACAACTACCCTAAATTTGTTTAGCACTCCCTAGTCTTTTAATCGAGTAAACCTCTGTCCAAATTGTACAATCATTACAAATCATTTACTAATCCCCTCGCTACTCTGATATGCCCTTAATATGAGAAAGAGGCCTTTCTAGCATTCCTCCCAGATACCTGAAGCACTCTTTCACTTGTCCAGTTGAGCCCTAGTAAGATACTAAAGTATATTCAAAGCAAAGCATGGTGGAATGACTGCAGAGAACACAGGAGACAGGTCCTCTCACCTCTTCCTCACTTATTCTTAGATTTAAAGAATTTAGACTCTTTGGCATGAATGTGGGGAGTGTATCCTCCCATACTTCATCCCATACTTTTCTTTTCAAAATTCTGAGTCTCAAAGAGAGATTTATTATAGCCAAGTGGTCATCAAGAGCAGATATTAAAACCAGTTTTGCCATTTAACCCTGGGCCAATTACTTAACCACTTTTAGTCTTAGTTTTGCTCATCTGTAAGACGGGGATAGTAATAACTACCTCATAGGCTGTAAGCATTACATGACACATTAATACAAATTACCTACCACAAAACCTAGCACAAAAAAGTTAGTAGACTGATTTATGTGGGTATTAAGTTTGCCACCGCTTAGATGAGTTTCCTTACTTAAATCAGGTTGTTAGGGGAAAGTTGCAGGACTACCTGGTAGCACTGAGAACAAAAAGGAAAAGGGGAGGTTATGACACGTGATTATAATTGCCCAGAAAAGGGGAAACTTGGATTTGTTTGGAGGTGAAGTCACCTTTCTTTTTTAAATTAATCCTGTTTCTAAATTAAGTCTGACATTTTCCTGAACCATTTTTAGTTGAAATTAATATTTCGTACTCCTGTAATTTATCCTATAAAATCAAATTGTTACACTGGTAGCTGAGAGTAAGAATATCCCCTTTGTTTCTTATAATGTCAGTAAGTCATGTGCTATAACCTAGAATAACAAATCCAAGTAACTTATGTCCTGAATTATAATTCATGTTCATTTCTGCACTCTGCTTTTCTGAGAAATAGATAAACCACAGGCACTAATACCAGGTATTGTATTAAAAATCATCTTTTCAAGGTCTGGCTCAGTGGGGAACAGCCTCAGCTCTGTCTCCTATCCCTTCTTTATGTGATCTGTTTAGAGTAACAGCTCCTAAGGCTTTGCAAGACCTTGCCGCATAAAAGAATTACTCCTCTGTGTCTTGTTTTAATCAGCTAACCCAGGTTTCCACTATTTTTAATGAGTAGGGTAAAAATACCATATGAGGAGAGGGCAAAGTGCACATGTTTTACAAGGTAAAAATCCAAGAACCGAATTAATCTGTTAATTAGCATAACTAGTTCTTCAAATGTACTGATTAATGGAGGCTTTCATATACTGCTGTGCTGATATATCATTTTCCAATCTTAGGCAAATGTAGGGAAACCAGCCTGTCCTGGTTAGCCTGAGATTTTTCCAGTTTTAGTACAGAAACCCTGTGTCTGAGGAAACCTTTCAGCCCTGGGCAAAATGGGAAGAGTTGGTCACCCTAGCCAACAGACTGTTTATAATTTCTTGTTCCTCCAACTGTGGTCCTCAGCAGCCATGCAGGGATCACCTGGAAGCTTGTTAGAAGTGCAGCATCTCAGATCCAACTCGAGACCTGCTGCATTTGGATCAGCATTTTAACAAGATCCCCAAGTCATAGGCCCATTTGCATCTGAGAAGCACTGCTCTCCGTGGGCTCAATTGGGAAAATCGGAATTGGTTCTGGGTCAAATTAAGCAAGTGACATTTCCCTTTTGGTCTTCCCTTACCTGATCTGGGTGTCCCATCCCCATTTCTGAGGCCTTCGGCACTCTCAGGTTGCCCCCGCTGGTCTATCCTTTGTCTCCTACTGTAATATGCTGCTAGGGGCTGTCCTCCCTGAAACGCTGCCTCTTTTCCATCAAAATGGACATGTCCTGAGTCTACTCTCTGGGTATTCTGTTAGAGGAATATGTATCTAATGTAATAATTGATACAGACTACTCTGTCTGTGGTGCCACCTCCCCTAGGGAACATGTCATCATTTTTAACAGGGGCCTTATATGGAAGGTCATAATAGCAGGAACTCCAGGAATCAATGCAGGTAAGAATTTTGGAGGAAGTGGGCTTCTTAGAGCCCCTCAAATCCTACCACTATATAATTCCTTATCTCCATGAGTAGGAAATACACGGAGAGAGGTTTAAGACAATTCCATGTAACTTTGCCTTACCTCCTAAATGTGAGGTGTGAACTGGATGCTACAGGTCATAGCTAAAGACTACAGCAGGGAGGAACAGTGAAGAATTTACTACATCATCTCTTACGAAGGTTAATCATTATCTTTTTGTTGTTTCTTTTCTTTTTTTTTTTTTTACTTTTAAATTACACGTGACATTCAATGTTATATTAATTTTAGGTATACAGCATAGCAGTTAGACATTATGTAACTTACAAAGTGATCCTCCCAATAAATCTTGTACCCACCTGGCACCATGCATAGTTATTACAATATTGTCTTTTATTAAGAGGTTTGGTTTCCATTAAAGGCTCAAGTACCCAGAGAGAAAAAGAAATGTGTTTGCATTTTAAGTGTGAGAGAATGGCCCAGGGCTGTATTCCTCAACAAGGGCTCAGGTTACATCACACTGTCATCTGTAAGTCAAGGCTCCTTTTTACCCAAGATGGGAAATGCTTACCCTTCACAGCAGATATACATATAGGGCTTTGATTCATGAGTTAATTTCCTTTTCCTGTGGCAGGCATAAATTATGCTTTCAGTTCTCTCATACCTAAATTTGTAGGAATGACTTTTAGATGGGAGCTTCAAATATACAATAAATATAAAAAGACAATTGCCATAGTAATAAATATTCAAATACTATTTGAAAATATTTATGCCTGCACTGCTCGTATACCTTTCAACATGCTTTCACATGAATATATCACTGGATCAAGAACAGTTAATAGTAGAGCTACATCGATTTAAATGTGTCCCCTAATGATTCAAAAGGCATTCAGGTCATTAGAATGCCCCAGAATGACTGTCATGAACTTGGATTGTAAAGTGTAAGAAATGCACACTAGGAGATATATCCAGGACATCGTGAGAAATCAGTTAGGGCTTATCGTAAAACTAGAGATTCACAGCCCTAAGAAATAAAATGAGATGCATCCCTCATTGGGAAAATTTTCACCGAATTCAATAGGAGTATATCTTGAAGGGCATCAAGAGTCTGCAGACTTAGAGTAAATCAGAAAATTCCACTGACCTCTGACCAGTAGTGTCACCAAACTCAGATGTACCCTTTGGTAACTCCCTTTTATAAGTTTCTGAATGACACAGGTGTAGGTGCCATTGTCTGACAAGTGCAGAGCCATGATCACAATGGAAGGGTTATTGGTGATGCTAGTGATGGTGCGGTTCTTGTACTTGGGCCTCACTTCCTCTACTCCAGATATGACACTCAGCACCACTTCACTATTTTTTTGCCAGTAGATGCGAACTCTTGCCAGGTCATCGGCAGAGATGTTGTAACCACAGGATAGTACTGCTGTATCTCTCACTGTCTTGATCACCTGGCTGATGCCTAAGGAGAGGCAAACAGAACAAGATTTTATATATTTATTAACCACATATTCCTGCATAAGCAGGAATTCAGAGTTGGCAGCAAAAGAACTTACAACATTGTATGTAGCGACTAAGCACAATCGAAGAATTCAGTTTGGTTTTGATTTTTTATTGGGGTTAAAAATTACATAAAATTTACCATCTGAACTATTTTTAAGTGTACGGTTCAGTAGTGTTAAGTATATTTACATTGTTGTGAAACAGATCTCCAGAACTTTTTCATCTTGCAAATATGGAACTCTACATATTAAACAGCGCCCTTTTCCCCCCTCCCTGATCCCTGGAAACCACCACTCAACATTATGTTTCTATGAATTTGACTACTTTAGATACCGCATATAAGTGGTCTCATGTAGTATTTGTCTTTTTGTGACTGGTTGATTTTACTTGGCATAATATCCCCAAGTTTCATCCATGTTTTAGCATGTGCCAGAATTTCCTTCCTATTTAAGGGAGGATAGTAAGATAATATTCTTGTGTGTGTGTGTGTGTGTGTGTGTGTGTGTGTGTATTCCTTTACCCATTTATCTCTTGATAGATAGTGAAGTAGAAGGTCCACTAGTCCTATAAGAAGAAAGACTTTAGGAAACCTGGCATATGAACTCCAACCACAGGTTAGGCGTGTTCTCAATCCCACAACAACATGGAAGTCATAGTTAAGAAATGTGAGACCTTGAGGAGTCTCATGATCATTTTTACAGATGGTCTCTTTGATCTCCTGATCTGGATGCCCTTTATTCAGTTTATGTGGGCTCTCTGACGGTACTTTGGCTTGGATAATTGATGGTTCATTCATTAGTGGGTTCTCTCCTCTGGCTGGCTGACTGGGAATCACAACCCCCACCGCGTCTAATATACTGTTGTTCAGGTGCTGGTAAACAAAGCAATACTACCCAGAAAACCAAACCCATGCCAATAAAAGTACCCCCCTACCACATCAGCAATATCAACAGCAATTGAGCAAAGAAAAATAAAAGTGGAATGAGATTAAGAATATTATAAAATAGGAAAAAGGGAATATGAGATGACTAAAAGAGAGAAAAAATGATTCTGGGGCAGAAGAGGGAGGAGAAATAATGAGCAGGGAATAGAAACAAGGTGAAGAAAGGGAGAAAATGAATTTAAAATGTAAGAAAAACAGGGAAGGATAGTAGCAAAATGGAGTAAGAAAAGGGGAGAGTATAATATGAAACAAAAGGAACAAAATTGTAGAAAAACCACAACAAATAACAATGACAGCTGAACAAAGATTAATAAAGGTGGAAAGAGAATAAAAATATTATAAGAAGGGTAAAAAGAATGTGGACTGACTAAAGGAAGGAAGAATGATTTTGAGAGGATAGAGGGAGGAGAAATAGTAAGAATACGGAATAGTAACAAGGTGTAGTGTGGGGGGGAATACAATTTACAATGAAAATAAGGAAGGGCAGGAAGAAGGCAAAATGGAGTAAGACAAGCAAAGGGTACAATGTGAGATTTGAAATAAAAATAAAATGAAATAATATAAACATCTAAATAAAAAGAATAAAAAATAAAAGACAAAGAATAGTTAATTAGTTGGAATACAATTGAAACAAAAGAAGGAATATTAAAAGGAAGAAAAATAACACAAAATCTGAAGAAGAACTAAGTGGAATTCATTTCAGCGGAGTTTGGTGTTTGCCTTCTGCTTCTCTTTCTGGATCCACCTCTGGCCTTTTAATCAGCTCAAGGTCCTGGGGTGGGTCATCCAACTTCTGGAAGCACAGCTTGTATTACCTTCACCTGCCTCTACAGAGAGCTTCTCTTGTAATCAGGAGGGTGAGACCCCTGGGTCTCCTCTGGGAGGCGCTGTTCAGTCTTCTGGAAAAATTTTGGGTGTGTTTCCTTTGCCACTGCACCACCCATTTTGGTCTGTCCCAGCTTATTCCCAATAATGTATAGTTTTTGATGAACTAGCTCTCTGTTTCAAGGGAGGGGCCAATCTGTCTAAGAGGGTCAGCTCTTCCCTGCTCGGTGCTGATGGCAGCTCTGTGTGTGAGCTAAGGCTGGGCAGGGCCTCGATTCCCCCTTGCTGCACCAATTTCTGATTTCCTTGCTTTGCAGTGGAATGGGGCCCTAGGAACCAGTATATTCTGTCTCCCTGAGAGAAGTTCAAAATGGACCCTTTCACCGTTTTTTTTTTTCTGTCTTTCTCTTGCAGATATGCACCCCATAGGAGGTTCTTGAGCCCCTCCTGCCTGTTTTGCAGAGCTTCCCCATTTTATGTTTGCAATCCCACAGGAGGTGGAGGCTAGGTACATCCTTCCCTTCCCAGATGTTCGATCCCTGCTGACAAGGGAAGGTGGTTCTCTGCCTGGCTGTAAATCTCAGGTGCTCAACTCCTTCCTGTTCAGTTCCCAGTCGACTGCCCTTGTAGCAGACACAGCCGCAAACTCCCCACTCTGTGCAGCCTCCATCCTGCTAGCTGCACCTCGCAGGGGCAGAGAAATTCCCTTGCTGTGTACCTTTCTGATCTCTCTCCCCAGCTGTTATTTAGTGGGTGCAAACTGCGCTTTCAATCTTTTCCCTTTGCTGGAAGGGCAGCTGTACACAGGGTCCCTGCCCAGCATGCCTCAGCTCCCCTTTTAAAAAGTCTTTCCGGGCACACTCACTGCAGTACTGAGTCACTGTCTGGTTTTCCACACACATCATCTTTCCAGAAAGTCAAAAGTCTCTCACAGTTCCAGGTGGCTGCAGCCTACTTCCACCCAACCCAGGTGGGAATAAAGTCCCTCTCTTTGGACTCTCCAGGTTGGCGTCTGTTGCTGCAGCTGTGGGTGTGCTGCCCGCTGTGGGTGTGCTGCCCACTGTGTGTGTCTGTAGCCTGAATCTCCCCGTCTTTGTGTATTCAAGTCACTCCCGGCCTGGGTCTGGGGTTTTTTTTGCCCTGGGATGTGAGGCAGCTGCAAAGCTGTGAGTTCTGACTAGGCTTTCCACAGCTGCATGTGCCACTCAAGGGGGTATTTCCCTTCAACCTATAAAATCTCTTTACTGCCCATTGTGAAGCATCTCCTGTTCTCCTTGGCTTCCGAACTTCGTTTCAGTCAAGATTCTGCTGAATGTTCAGTTTCTCAGCAATTCACCAAGTATCTGAGTTGGGGGCAAGAGCAAGTGGACTCAGCTTCCACCTACTTGGCCACCATCTTCTCTCTGGTTCCTTTTTGTTCATTAATTTTATACCTGAGTTCATCAAGTCGCCTTTCTGGGTTTTATATTTCCTTGAACTTTTCCGTAACAGCAATCTCAAATTCTCTTTTCATTTTAACTGCAGTCTTCCATGACTTCGAGTTTGGTTTCTGGAAACTTTTCATTTTCTTTCTGTGCTTCCATGTTACCTTGGTTATTCATGGTTCTTCATGAATTGTTTTTCTGTCTGTGAATGCTTTTCTTGTTTAAATAGTTTTGCTTTTAACAATTCAGTAAGGTTGATAGGTAGGTTACTTTCTTTTGTTTTCCAGTAGATGGTGGTATAGAACAAGTTTTTGTTTTCTCTTACCAGTGGCATTAAATTGAGGATGCCACAGAATCACTGGAGTGGTGGGTGTCCCCTCTGTGTTCTGTCTTGGTTAAGGGGTACTGCCAGCAAGGGGGAGAACCAATTTTGTTAGCTCCCAGCACTGCCTCCTCGTTATTAATGGCGGCTGGTTCCACTGTGTTGTTGGAGATGTCTCCACTACCTCTGCCAGGGTCTGTGGTGATCAGCGGGACAAAGGAGGCAATTTCATGATTTTGCAGCTCTGCCTTCCCATCAGTAATGGCTGCCAGAACTGCTGTGATGTGTAAGCATCCCAGTCACTGCTCCTGGGCTCTGCCACAATGGGGAGGGGGAAGCAGAGCCGTTCTCTCAGGGCAGGACACTGCCTCTGCCTGTCTTATGCTCTAGGCTGTAGTGTGAGGGCGGCAGCCTGACATCTCTACCACGACTGTGCTTACTGGAGCCATGGGGGATGCCGAATTGTGTCTCTGTCCACACCTCCCCATCCCGCCTCCCCTACTCATTCCAATACACCCACCTTCAGATGGGTGGATCTCTGAGGAAGTTTGTGTGTTGAGCAGGGGATCCTTTGTTGAGTTATAGTTTTCTGACTTCTTAGAAATTTAAGGGGAGAAACAAAGAAGTCTTCTCGCTCTGCCATGATGCTGATGTCAGTAAAAATGAGCTAATTTCAGTGATGGTTCTTAAGGAATTTTTGTCCAGTCATCTAAGAAGTGTAAGTACCTCTAAAGGTCAGTGATACACTGTGTGAGGTCACCTTGCGAGATGCCCATGCTGAGGAAGAATCAGACTGAAAAGAGGAACCAAAAGTCTTCTCGGCAGTTTGGAAATTCCCACCTGTACTGCTTCCATTTAGGTCCCTGTGCTAGACACTACATTTTAACAAGGCCTCCAGGTAAGGTATGTAAAATAAAAGTGTGAGCAGGACTGGTATAGACTATGTCACTCCCCTGCTTAAAATCCTTCCATGGCTTCCCAGTACCCTCCAGATAATATGGCCTTCAAGTCCTGTGGAGTCTGGTCCCCATCCCCCCATTTCCCACCCCTTCACTTCCCTGCTTTTGGTTTCTCACTGGCTGCTCCTTCCACCTGCTCCCTAGTTCACTCTTACCACTCTCCCCTCTGGCAGGAAAAGACAGCGTTTGTTGGTCGTACTTTCAATAGAGTGATCATAGGATTAATTTTCATTTTCTTCCTAACAACCATGAATTCCATAAAGGCAAAAGCCATGCCAATTTTGCCCATAACTTGTCCCCAGCACTGAGAAAAGTCTTGTACTTAGGAGATGCTCAATATCTGTTGAATTAATAAATGATTAAACAAAAGGGTAAACACATGGGCTGGGTTCATCCTTACCTTTGTGCCTTTGTCCATGCTGCTTCCCCACGTAGAACTCTCCCATGATCACCTGTCCTCCACCTGCCCAGCTGCCCCAGCCCACCCTAGTCTGCCTTTCTCAGGTCTTAAGCTCTTATAGTCAAACCAAGCACGTCAGTGCTCTTCACTTGCTTTTGAGTTAGTTTCACTTCATTCAACTAACATATTCAAATCTCTCTGAGAGCAAGAATCCAAGGCTAAGTTTTTAAGGCATATTTGGTAAGTGCTCAGGCATCAGAAGCTCGTGGGTTTGTTTGTGACTCAGTACAGCAACAATAAAATTGGGATGTAGTTATAGAACAGCAATTTTCAACCTGTGTGCCACAATAATTTTTAACATGCACTACCTGACTATTTAGTCAGGGACACTGACCTCTTTCCTTTAGATTGTCAAATAAAAAATGACAACAGCCAACACAACAATTGCTGTCTGGTGTGAATGAATCAAAATTATACCTTTCTTTTTTCAGAGCAGCAAAAAATATAATACATTTTTTTTGGCATGCCACAGAATTTTAGTAACTAGTTTATGTGTGCCATGACATGAAAACGGTTGAAAATCACTGCTATAGAACAAGGTACTTTCCTAAATATCTTTCTTTAGCTCAAAAATCATCTTCCATTTGCTTATGACTAATTTTCTGGTACAGTTACTAAAACCTTGGTTTTAGTTTCAATGTTCTTTTTTTTGTTGCTAAAATTTTTAAATATATTTTTTATTTTATTAAATTTATTTTTGATGCTCTTTTTATACTTTCTCTTTTTTGTTGTTTCTGTCTCTACCCCACCCACATAGCCCTAGAAAGTCTGTATAAAAATCCTTCTAAATATTTTGCAACTTATTTAGAATCTCCAGAAGACTCTAGTTTGAGAGTGCTTTCCCAACTTCCCAGAAAAAAATTGTAACTTTTGGAAATGTATTATAACTGTCAAATATATACAAAATAGTCAAATAATTTGTGTACCTTAACTCCTCTTCCCTCCCATCAACCTCTCTTCCTTACATCTTTGACATTCTGGATAATGCCCACAGGGCAGACATGTTTTAACTAAGCAGCTCTTAACATAAGGATGTTTGACATCTGGTTCTTTGTAGAGTGGCAAACTGTGCTGGAGTCCAAGTCTCTATTTTGGGGAAACCAGATACTATACTGCTCAGCAGAAAGCAATCTTCTTTTCTGACTTTAAAAGTAAAGTCAGAACCATCCTATTGCCAGGATGAGCCCCACCCTTCCCAACAGTCCCTTAAATCTAGCACCTGAGCTGAAACAAAAGCCTCCAGAAGTCAAAATATTCTTTGCAAAACACACAGGAAATAGTGATGTAGTAAGTTTAACATAACTAAAAATATAATTTCGTGTTAAATATGATACACTTAATGTCAGATACCAGTGTCCACAAAGGGCATCAATACCTAAAGCATAAAAATAAATATTAAGAGAAAAATTTAACGTTAAGAAGATTATATGCCTCAAATGCTTCCTTTTCCCCTTTCAAATTGGAAAGATCATCAGTGCTCAGTTTTAGAAGCAGAACACTTTAGCTGTGTTGTCTCATAGAAATATAGTTTGGGAATTATAGCCCTATGCCAATGCACTTAGCATATCACAAAATGTAAATGAGCAACTAGTGTTCATAGAAGAGACCAAAACACTAGGCTGCACTTCTGAATCAGTTTTATGGTTTTGTTAAAATAATACTGTCCCACCCTCTTTTTTAAAGCCTGAGTTCTCGGGCTAACTTGGTCGCTGGCTTGCTGTGTGATCAGGGGCAGGTCTTTCTCATCTCTGAAACGGACAGAAATATACCAGCTGGAAGGTCTACAGAGAGCGCAGCACTGAGAATACCATCTCCTTTCTCTAGACACTGAAACAATGGACTCAGTCAAGTTGCTTACCTGAAGAGAAGTAGAAAAGACCAGTCAGCACCAGAAGCTGAAAGAGCTTGAGGTATGAGAACTTGGGTGGTGGTGTTCCCCACGTTAGTGTTTGACCCATGGCTTTTGCTACTTAGTACAGAAAATGAAAGGAAGCAATTTTGCACCAAGTGAGAACTGGGCACCTTCCAAGCACACACCAGGCTGGTGTAGAAGATAATTCAGTTGCCCCAAACACAGGGTTCAAGTATAAAACACACTGAGAAGAGGCTGATGGTGTATCTAGGTCTCCAAATTCCCAAATATAAAAGATGGTGGATTTGACAATCTGAAAAAAAAGAATATAAAAGTCACTCAAGAAAAAAGCCAGCCCACTGTGGGTTGTAAAACTAACTAGTTGCCTGCCTAAAATAAGTTGAGGATTCTAATCTTACTGATCTCCAAACCAGGTAATGATGGCAAGTTCATAGTAAAGGTTGGGTGGACTTTGTGGAAGTAATCCTGCCTTGTGCATGTTCCAAGAACCAACCACAGCTCTCCCATGGAATGGCTCTCTGCTCATTTGGGATGATTATTTGGGTTAGAAATGTAGAGAACTACAATATAATGGCCAACCCATGAAAGTTCAGATTGTTTTCAGAACATACTGGTTCACAAAACCATAAGGATTCAACAACTCAACAAAACATCATTTGCACAGAAGGCCACTACACAATCCTAAAGGGATTGATCCAACAAGATTGGATCCAAAGGGATTGATCCTTGTAAACCTATATGCACCATATATAAGAGCACCTAAATATATGAAGAAAATGTTGGTGGACATTAAGGGAGAAATCAACAGCAATATAGTCACAATAGGGAATTTTAACACCCCATTGACACCAATGGATAGATATTCCAGACCAAAAATTAAGAAGGCAACAGCAACCTTAAACAACATGCTGAATCAGGTGGATTTAATTGATTTTTACAGAACATTTCATCCCAAAGCAGTAACATATACATTCTTAAGTGCACATGGAACATTCTCAAAGACAGACCACATGTTAGGACACAAAATAAGTCTTAATAAATTCAAGAAGATCTGACCACATGGTATAAAACTAGAAATCAACTACAATAAAAAACTGAAAAACATTCAAACACATGGGTGCTAAATAACATGTTATTAAACAATGGATGGACTAACAATGAGATCAAGGAAGAAATCAAAAGTTACATGGAGACTTCTGGTCAAGGGAAGCACAGCTTGCCTCCTTGCACAACCACATCAAAATTACAACTAAACTACAGAGCAACCATCACCCAGAATTGTCAGAAATTCAGTTGAATGGAAGTCTGACAACTACAGAATTAAAGAAACCACTTTCATCCAGACTGGTAGGAGGGGCAGAGATGTGGAGACGCTGAAAAGGCTGGTACCACACCCATGTGTGGTTGATAAAAATTTGCGAGTGGTATCTCAGGGGTGAGGAGTCCCAACCCCACACCAGGCCCCCCAGCCCAGGGTTCCAGTGCCAGGAAGATAAGTCCCCATAACTTCTGGCTGCAAAAAGTAGTGGGGATTGAGTCAATGGAAGAAACTTCTGGAGTTTGAAGCAGTTCCTCTTAAAGAACATGAATACACACTTATTCAGACTCAGTCCCTCTGAGCTCCAGCACCAGGGTAGCAGCTTGAAAGGCACCAGTGGCATAAAGAGAAGAACTGAAGTATCTGGCATCAAGGCAAGAGCTGGGGCACAGCTTTCTACCAGACAGAAAGGCAAACAGAGGCTACTATTCCTTTTCTGAACTCTTCCCCCACAGAGCCACAGAGCTGGCATGTGGGTGCCATATCTGAGACTCCATCAACCTGGCTAACACTGTTTGTCCCACCCTGGAGACCCCCTGAGGCTTTGCCCTACCAAAGCCGTTAAGAGAGGCTGTTCCATATGAACGGCTGGTCATGGCTCATGCTTAACAATTTCCCAAATTCTCTCAAACAAGCAAAGCAGGACCTAGTGAGCCCCAAGCCCCCATACTTCTTGCTAAGTGGCCCCAGGCCTGGCACTAGTAGTATCCAGCCTAGGTCCACAGCTTGCCTTCACCTGGGAATCTCCAAGTCCAGCACAAGCAGCAGCTGTCTGAAGATTGCTTTGTAGTTCATTCAGGGTGGCCCTGTGCAGAACAAATATCGGGGCTGACTTTGGCCTGTACCACTCAGGAAATCCCAGAGCCTGCATACACTGTGGTCAGCTACAGACTACATTGGAGCACCACTACTCTGCCCCTGCACAGCTGACTCTCCATGGAGGGCAGAGGTTGGTGGTCAGTGGTTACAGGCAGTCCTTGCAGCTGACAGGGCTGGGTAAATCCCTCCCATTGACCAGATAACAGCAATCAAGACTCAACTACAAGAGGAGGGTGTATTTAGTTCACATGGAGGGTGTACCTCGAGCTCCCTGCTTGAGTGATAGGGAGGCTGTACCACTGGCCCCTACAGGACACCTACTACATTAGGTTACATTACCAAGACAGGGAGTCATAGCAGCTATATATAACACATAGACACAAACACAGGGAGGCTGCTAAAATGAGGAGACAAAGAAACATGGCCCAAATGAAAGAACAGGTTAAAACTCCATTAAAAGAACTAAACAAAATGGATATAAGTAATCTATCACATGCAGTTTTTGAAACACTGGTTATAAGGACATTCAAGTAATTTAGTGAAGACCTCAGCAGCATAAAAAAGATCAAGTCAGAAACAAAGGATACACTAATTGAAATAAAGAACAAATTACTGGGAAACAACTGTAGAGTGGATGAAGCTGGAATCGAGAATCGAATCAATGATTTGGAACATAAGAAAACAAAAAACAACCAACCAGAACAACAAGTAGAAAAAAGAATCCAAAAAACTGAGGAGAGCGTAAGCAGCCAATGGGACTTCTCCAAGCATTCCAACATTCACATGATAAGGGTGCCAGGAGAAGAGAAAGAGCAAGAAATTGGAAATCTATTTGAAAAAATAATCAAAGAAACTTCCCTAATTTGGTGAAGGAAATAGACATGCAAGTCCAGGAAGCACAGAAAGTCCCAATTATGATGGATGCAAAGAGGCCCACGAAAGATACATCATAATTAAAATGCCAAAGTTTAAAAAGATAAAGAGAGCATCTTAAATGCAGCAAGAAAAAAGAAGTTAGGTACCTACAAGGGAGTTCCCACAAGACTATCAGCTGATTTCTCAAAAGAAACTTTGCAGGCTAGGAGGGATTGACAAGAAATATTCAAAGTCATGAAAATCAGGGACCTACAGCCAAGACTGCTCTACACAGCAAAGATATCATTTAGAATTGAAGGGCAGATAAAGAGCTTCCCCGACAAGGAAAATCCAAAGGAGTTCATCATCACCAAACCATTATTATTTGAAATGTTAAAGGGACTTAGTTAAGAAAAAGAAGATCAAAACTATGAACAATAAAATGGCAATAAAGACATATCCATCAGCAATTGAATTTGAAAACCAAACTAGTTCGCTGCCCTGCTGTCTGGTGCCGCGGACTCACAACCAAGTAGGCCCAGTTGTCGCGTGCACCATGTCTGGTTCCTCAAGTGTCACCGCTATGAAGAAAGTGGTTCAATAGCTCCGGCTGGAGGCCGGGCTCAACCGCGTGAAGGTTTCCCAGGCAGCTGCAGATTTGAAACAATTCTGTCTGCAGAATGCCCAACATGACCCCCTGCTAACTGGAGTATCTTCAAGTACCAATCCCTTCAGACCCCAGAAAGTTTGTTCCTTCTTGTAATGAAATGAATCTTTGAAGGTATTCTAAACCACTTTTCATGAACCAGTGAATATTCAAAGAGAGCTAAATTTGAAGCCTGTACAAAAAGCTTATTATCCCTGTAACACGTGCCACACTATACAAACTTCTGCTTTTGTCAGTCCTTAACATCTACCTCTCTGAATTTTCATGAATTTCTACTTCACAAGGATGATTATTTTATATACACTGGCAGCGGCATACAAATAAATACTTAGTATTAAAAAAAAAAAAGAAAACCAAACTAAGCAAACAAGAACAGAGACATAAACATGGATATGGAGGGCATTTGGATGGATGTTGGATGGGAGGGGGCTTGGGGGAATGGGTGAAGAGGTAAAGGGATTAAGAAGTAGAAATAGGCAGTTACAGGATACCCGTGGGGATGTAAAGTACAGTACAGGAAATGGAGTAGCTGAAGAACTTATACACATGGCCCATGGACATGAACTCAAGTGTGGGGATTGTCTGAGGGTAGTTCTGGGTGGAGGGGGGCCCAGAGAGAATAATTGGGACAAGTATAATAGCATAATAAATAAAATATAATTTAAAGGTGACAAAAGGAATCATATGCTAATGAATCATTTTTATTGCAAAAATTAAATTTTATGAAATCAGAAAAATAAAGTTATGTGGAAACAAATGAAAATGAATGCAAAAGAACTCAGCTTCCATGGGACACAGTGACAGCAGTCACGAGAGGAAAGTTCATAGCATCGCAGGCCTAACTAAAGAAGCAAGACAGAGAGACCAAAAAGAAAAAGAAATCCAGAAGATCAATAAAACCAAGAGCTGGTTCTTTGAAAAGATAAAAAAGTTTGACAAACCTTTAACCAGAGTCATAAGGAAAAAGAGAGGACCCAAATAAATTAATTTAGAAACAAAAGAGAAGTAACGGCTGACACTCAAAGGATTATAAAAAAATACTATGAACAACTATATGCCAACAAACTGGACAACCTGGGAGAAATGGACAAATTCCTAGAAACATACCATCTTCCACAACTGAATCAAGAAGAATCAAAAAACTTGAACGGACTGATTACAACTAATGAAATTGAAGCAGTAATCAAAAAATTCCCAACACGCGAAAGTCCTAGACCTGATGACTTCATAGGCAAATTTATGTCAAATATCCAAAGAACTAACACCTATCTTTCTCAAACTATTCCAGAAAATCCAAGAAGAGGGAAAACTCCCACGCTCCTTTTACAAAGCCAGATTTATCCTAATTCCAAAGCCAAATGAAGACACTGCAAAGAGAGAAAATTACAGGCCGATATCCCTGATGAACATAGATGCTAAAATCCTCAACAAAATATAAGCAAACTGGATCCAACAATACATTAAACAGATCACACACTATGATCAAGTGGGAGTAATTCTGGGGATGTAAGGTTGGTACAATATTTGGAAATCAATAAATGTGATACACCGCATAAACAAAATGAAGTACAAAAATCACATGATCCTGTCAATAGATGCAGAAAAAAAAGCATTTGATAAAATCCAGCACCCATTTGTTATAAAAACCCTCAGCAAAGTGGGAAAAGAGGGCTCATACTTCAACATAATAAAGGCCATATATGACTAACCCACAGCCAACACCACACTCAATGGGCAAAAACTGAAAGCGTTTCCCTTAAGATTTGGAACGAGACAGAGATGCCCAATGCTTTCACCTCTCTTATTCGACATAGTGCTGGAAACTACTTCTTTCTTAACATGTTATAGAAAAACAAGTGCCTCAGTTCTTAAATGCCTCTTCACAAAGAATGACTAAACAGAAAAATCTATCAGTAAGAGGAGAAGTAAAAAAGACATACCAAGCTATCCCATATGAAGCTAATGATAAATGTATACTTACTAAAGAACGATTTCTTCTTCTCTTGTGTTACAAATCAAAGTAGAGATGTTCAAATTGTTCAGTTTTCTAGAGACGTCACGTCTCCAATTCAACTGCCTTGTACTTGATGATTTCTCATCAGAGTGTGGTAGCTTTGAGGAAGTTCTCCCAGCTAAGTCAGCTTCTTTAAGAGGGTGTGGCTGGGGCAAACCCCACAATGCCTAGGAGAGAGCAGCAGACAGTCTGAGGAGAGGGAAGAAAGTAGTTGGAGGGGTGGGCTGCTCCACTGACTGGCAGTAGGTTCTCTGTGAGCTTTATGGGATGCCTGTTCTGTGCTGGTCCCGAGTTTTGCTTTAGCACTCAGAGTTATCCCTCTCTAGTCACTGTCATGCCACTACAGGAGTGGGCCACCCACCTCACATGTAGTGGACACTTTTTGGAGAGTGCTCAGCTCACAAGGCTACTCCTAATTGCAGGTCCACCTCTCCAGCCCGCAATCATCACAGAGTGGGCTCCTGGCAGCCATGTTGGACAGTGTATCCTTAACCATGGTTGAGCACCCGCAGGGGAGCACAATGACAGAGCCAAGGAGTGGGGTGAGGACAATTTAGTCCCCTCCACCCCATTTTCAAACAGCTTGCTACTGCTATGCCTTCTCTGTAGAATTCTGGAGCATTCTGTGGGTAAATAGCTGACCCATGCTTGTCCAGCCGACCTGCTTTGCTCATGCAGAATCTGGCAGCACCTTGCCTGGGCCTGCACCTTTCTGTTGGCTGTTCGCTGGGGCAAGGGCGGGCAGCCTCTCTATTGCCTGGGCATGGGCTACTCTTGGGAGTTCTGCACTCAAGCCTGTGCAGTCTGGAAACATGCAGGGAGCTAATGCTTGGGGGGCTACTCTTGACCAAATGGGGCTGGAAGCTAATGGATAACTGCTTTCCCCTTTGGTTGCCCAAATGGAGACCTCAAAGAGACATGTTCAAAACTCACTGAACAACACACCAAATGGGTGCATTTCATTATATTTAAATTGTATCTCAATGAAGAAAAAAGAACAAAACTCTCTGACCAAGTCGGGGTCATTACAGCCAGAAAGAATAGGCATAGCAAATCAAATTTTTGGATAGGTATATAGAATATTAATGATAATGGAAAAAATATTATGGAATAAGCATTGCTGAGTCACTTAAAACTCATCTCAAGGCTGAGCCATAACCATCCTGGAACAACTGTTACATGGGCCTATATGGACTTGACCTCTTTGGAATTTTGTCCTCCCTTATTTCCATACTGGAACTAATCAACCTCTGTTCACATGCCAGAAATCCTTCATTTCCACGGAAAACTACCTTTTTGTGGTTTTAGCCTTCATAAACCCTGACTTTCTTTGATTGCTATCGAGGACAGTTTGGGTGGCTCCTTGGGTGTTTCTCTGCTTTTGCTCATATAAACGCTTTTTGTTCTTTATTGTAGCCCAAACCTTTTGGTGAACACACATATGTTGATTCTAATTCTCTTTTAAATGACACTATTAATTTATTCAGACAAAAGTACTCTTACTTTTTCCCTGCTTTCATTTACTATCAGGATGAAAAAAATAATATTTAGCTGCCAAAGAAATGACAAGAGTTAAAATCTTAACAACCACACTAAGAAGTGCTATTATTGTCCCCTTTTATAGATGAGGGGCCCAGAAAGGTGAAAAAGGCCGAGTATTTGGCTACATAGCTAGGCGTGAAGAAAAGACCGAGGCACGTCCTTGGAGCCCACGTGAGTCACTGATAGACGGAGCCGCGTTCCCGGAGTCGCTTCTCAGCGCCCTCCCGAGCGCGAGTGGCGACGATGCAGGCCCCGTCGCCCCCGCTCGGGCACAGAGGGCCGCTGCAGTGCTAGAAAGCTGCTTTCGAAACCCCCTGTCCCACGGAAGCCGAAGTTGGCCGCGCGGAAGGCACAGGGTACTCCTTCACGGGCCGTAGAAACTGGGAGCGGTCCCCCAGCCTGGCGACGCAGCTCCGCCCCTGTCGCGCAGAGCTGGGCTCCCGCGGCTCCGCCCCGTGCCTGCAGCTGCCGGAGGAGACTAGGCCTCTGTCCGCACCCTGAACCGCCCGCCCCTGGCCCGCCCTTGTCCCACGCGCTCCACTCCCTCGGCCACCAGGTATTCCACCGGCCACCAGGTACTCCACTGGCTGTCCTCTCCCCTCTCCCCTGCCGGCCCTCTCCCGCGCCCTCTTTTCTCGGCAGTGACCAGGTCCTGCCAGCTCCCTTTCCCCTCCTTCGCCCTTCCTCGCCTTGGTCCCGGGTGCGCGTTCTCCCCACGTCCCCAGGGATCAGGTACACCCCAGCACAGCGGCTCCTGTGCTCTCTCCTCCCTCGCAGTGGCCGGGTGCCCCCACCCACTCCCGTCTCGCCTGGGCGCGGCCCCCGCGCCCCTCCATAGAGAAGCAGAAGTCTGCCGGGAAGCAGCTGACCAACCTTAGTTTTGAATTTATAGTTCGGGGAGGAAATGTAAAGTGTAAAAATTCAGAGAAATTTAAGGTATAATTGCATTCTAAAAGCGGGACGCTAGAGCACTATGTGTGAAAGTTAAAAGGGTTTTCCAGCGGAAAGAGATGGTCATTGTCCCCCAGCCCCACTTACAACTCAAAAACCACATGCTCGGTGGAGCCACAAGGAATTACAGAAAGGAAACTGAAGACATTGGGAGAGAAGGTGCAGAGGGACTAGAAATTGGTCCTCTGAAGCTCTTAGGACAGGACTTCATCCCCCTTCCTCCCCGACTCTCCAATTAAAAGTTAGGAATATCGAGGTCCAGGGTGGATGGTTTGTCTACAATCACACAACTGATTCTTGACAGAGTCAGGTCAAGTAGCCCAGAACTCCAGTTCCTAGGCGTCATCTCTAAGTAATAAAGCATGTAAATACTGGTCCACAAATACCCTTTGTGAGCTAAGAAATTCAGCATGATCAGTATTGGCATGCTCAGTCTTCATTTGCTCTTCTCCAGGTACTGGCCGGCCTGCATTCCCAGACCAGCAGAAGAGCAGCTGGGGAAGGACTCCCGAAACCCCAGGACTTGAACTCCAAAGGCTGTGTCATTAGATTTTTGGCAAGTGGGAGGGAGGATTGGCATCTTGGAGGTGGAAAGAGCTTGAGTTGAGGGGGGAATGTGCTAGTCTACGAGCGGTAAAAGGTGTTTAGCTGGCCTATGCAAGTGGAGGGGATGGGTCCAGTGGGAGCAGACAGGAGGGCTTTGAACTTGAGTACTACAGACAGTAGGGTCGGGAAGAATTGGAAAAGCACCTGCAGGAAAACCAGCACTTTACCAGGATTAGATTCATGGAGGTCATATTAGCTGAGATCCTAGGACTCTAGAAGTTAATCATTTAGAAGAAAAACAAAATTTAAATATTGCTGTTGAAAGGAAGGTTGTGAGGACAAAGTATTCTGGTTCATAAACAGAAAAGTCTTTTCCCTGGTTGTGTATGAATAATAAAAATAGTGCTTCACAAAAATTTATGTATTTACTCCTCATGACAAACCCAGGAGACTGTTACTACAAGGACATTTTTATCACCATTTTAGAGATGTAGAGGCTGAGGCACAAAGAGGTTGCCCCAGTGAGTAGGTTTATGTTGAGGGGAGTGGCCTAAAATCAGAAGAATCTGGTGTTAGTGCCTCCGCATGCTGATTGTGTGAACTTACCCTCTCTGAGCCCCAATTTTCTTATCTGTGAAGTGCACACTGTAACCCCTGCCTAGTAATGAGACAGAAGGTGCAGGTGCCGTGTGAACTGTGCTTTGTAATGGAAAGTACTACTTAAGTGAAGGAGGGATGCACTTTCAAGGCCAAATCCCAACTAAAAAGAAAACGATAAGCTTGGTTTGATTTCCAGAATGTAATGGGCTTTGGAGTCAGATGGACTCTTAACTATGCCACTTAGCTCTGCGACCTAAGATAAGTCACTTAGCATTTCTGAAACTGAATTATCTCTGTAACCCTCATTTCACTTATTTGTAAAATGGGCCTAATAATACATTCCTTGTAGAGCAGTTGTGAGAATTCAATGAGGTGCACTTGATACAGTGCCTACAAGTAGTGAGTGCTCAATAAAATGTAGATAGGGCTATTTTTTTTTCCTGATTCTTCTTTCTCCTTATCCTCTGTGTGTCTTAATTTCCCCCCAAGAGACAGCCTTACCATGTGTGCGGGACTAATCGAGAGGTACGTGGCTGCCATGGTGCTGAGTGCAACTGGAGATGCTTTGGGGTACTTCAATGGGAAGTGGGAGTTCCTCCGCAACGGGGAGAAGATTCACCAGGAGCTGGCCCAGCTTGGTGGCTTGGATGCCATAGATGTGGAGAGGTGGAGAGTCAGCGATGACACAGTGATGCACCTGGCCACGGCAGAAGCTCTCGTGGAAGCTGGAAAAGTCTCAGACTTGGATCAACTGTATTCCCTCCTTGCTAAGCATTACCAGGATTGCATGGAAGACATGGATGGCCGGGCACCAGGTGAGGGCAACCAGTGGAGGTCCTGCACAAGTAGAAAATAAAACAGGGTTGATCGGTCGGTGCCTTGGTTGGAGCATCATCCCATAAGCAAAGGGTTGTGGGTTTGATTCCTGGTTAGTGCACATACCTAGGTTCTGGGGTCAGTCCCTGAGCCAGGTGCACACAGTCCCCATTCCTAAGCATGTATGGCACAGGCACATACAAGAGTTAAACAACTGATGTTTCTCTCTCTTCTTTTCTCCCTCCCCCACTTTCTCTAAAAGTCAATGAAAACATGTCCTTGGGTGAAGATTAAAAAAAATTGTGATTGAGATTTACATACCAAGGAGACAGTACTTTTTATAATTTTGATAAAAACAGAAACAACCTAAATGTCCCAAAATTTATATAATTATGGTGATATATTCAGAGCCAGTTAAAATTATATAGATAAATATTTCCTGATATTGAAAGATGTTACATATTGAATGAAAGATAAGTAGGTTATAAAACAGGATGTATCTTATGAACTCACTATCATTAAAAGATATGTGTATATCTGTTGGGACAAGTCTGGAAAAATATACACAAGGATGTTCATAATTATAGCTGGGTAAAGGGAGTATTTATAGTTTCTTATTTTCTTTTTGCTTATTTGTATTTTCTGAGTTTTCTGTAATGAACTAGTTTAAAGAAGATATTTTTTCATTTGATTTCCAGAATGTAATGGGCTTTTGGAGTAATGGGCTTTTCATTCAAAAATGAAAAGTGGAAAGTGTCCCGTAGAGACTTCATTTCTGTTTCCAGGTCTGCTCACAGTGGTTCTTGCCAACTTTGGGAAATAGTTACAGCCACTTGGACCACCAGGTGATTTGAATCACCTCTTCCCTAGCCCGTCTCACCTTCCTCTCCTCCTCTGGAAGCTTGAGCTGCTAGAACAAAATGCTACAGATTGGTGGCTTAACGAACATTTATTTTCTCACTGTCTAGGGGGCTAGAAGTCTGAGATCAAGATGTTGGCAGGTTTGGTTTCTCCTGAGGCCTTTCTCTTTGACTTGCCAACGACCTTCTTATATCTGTGTCCCCTCACAGTGCACATCCCTGGTGTCTCTATGCATCCAAGTTTCTTTTTTTAAGGATACCCCTCAGATTGCTTTAGGACCCACTCTAACGTTCTCATTTTAACTTCATCACCTCTTTAAAGGCCCAATCTCTAAATACAGTCACATTCTGTAATACTAGGAGTTAGAGCTTTAGCATATGAATTTTAGGGGACATAACTCAGCTTATGAGTGATGAAATGCACCTCCTGATGAAAATCACCCCTCTCCAGACATCCAGGGTCTCTGGTGACCCCAAGGATGGGCTGTAGAAGCTGGTCTTTCCATTCTTTCTCCACATATCTCATCAGTTTAACAAGTGGAAAGTTTTCTTTGTTCACTTATGCCTTCTATGACCTTGTTGTGAGTAAACTGACCGTAAGAGAACAATAATACCATACCCCATAGTATGTTACTGCCCCTCCTTGGTTCAGGTGTGCATTCACAGTTCCTAGTGGGATAGGCTGATGGGGGAAGCCTGATTACGCCACTGCCACATGGGGGATGAACCGAGGGCATGTTGTGGCTTTGAACCCATTGCTCCGTCTCTGAGCCCAGTGCTCTTCACTCCAGAACAGTGTCCCCTTTCTGCTACTTGGGAATTCCAGTTGTCAGGTTCTTATTGGGTTATTTAATGGCTTGGGCTTCAAGCTTGATGGTTTTGATGGGGCCACTAAGGAGCTGGTTACATGATTTTGAGAAGGTTCGTAGGCTCTGAGCCTTCGCATATTCGTTTATTGTAATGTCTCAGTAATAACTCTTATCATGCTAAGAGTTATATATAAAGTAAGGCACAGTATTGGCTTGGGGTTTGGAGTTTGAGGGCATTTGTCATCATATTTTTTTTGGCTTTCCCTTTCCATCAAAAATACTTGGAAACAGAGCTTGGTTCTTCCCTCCTGCGGCAGCCTCTGCTTCGGTCACACTGACCCTATGCCCGACCCGGCTCTTCCCCAGGCGGTGCTTCGGTGCAGAATGCCATGCTGCTGAAGCCAGACGAAGCCAATGGATGGAGGATTCCCTTTAACAATCATGAGGGAGGCTGCGGGGCTGCCATGCGAGCCATGTGCATTGGCCTTAGGTTCCCTCGCCTCAGCCAGTTGGACACACTGATCCAGGTGAGCATCGAGAGTGGCCGAATGACCCACCATCACCCCACTGGCTACCTGGGTGCCCTTGTGTCTGCTCTTTTTACAGCCTATGCTGTGAATGGCAAGCCCCCCCAGCAATGGGGAAAAGGACTGATGGAGGTGCTACCAGAAGCTAAAAAGTACATTGTCCAATCAGGCTACTTTGTGGAACAGAATCTTCAGCACTGGTAAGTTTGTAGGTGCATACTCCTGCCAGAAAATGGTTGTGTCTGGGTGCTTGACTGCGTAAGCCTAGAATTCCTAGATCACAGCAACCGTCATGGTTCTCACCATCCAGTTTTGTCATTCATGGCATCCAGCCCCTTCCTGTCCGCCTGCTCAGCATTTCAAGTTCAACTCTGGCAGTGGTTGCCACCAGGCAGCCGAGTGAAGACCTCAGAGTAGTGCAGCTCTGGTCGTGCTTCCTTCATGTATAGGGATCCTGCTCTGTATTCCAACTTTCTGTAGTTTTGTGGCTGTCCTTTACTGAAATGAACTTCCCCATTTATCTTCTGGAACTTGTTTTTCAATGCTGTCTTGATACACAATATTTTGAAATACTTGCCTTGAATGGCCGAGAAATGGGTTTTTTACTAGCTAATTAGTAAGTGGTAAAACCACATCTTCCCCGTTTTCTGAATGTAGTGCACATTGCCTTTCTTGGAATAAAAAGGTCCAGAGGCTTTCTGCTGAAATCACACATGGTCCTGATATTCCAAAGTTCTCTTAAAAACAAACAAACAAACAAACCTGTATAAAGGGAAGATGTGTTAATTGTTGTGTAATTATTTCACAATGTATATGTATATCAAATCATTATGTTGTACACTTTAAATATATACAGCTTTTATTAAGAAAATAAAGCGTAGCCCTTGCTGGTGTGGTTCACTGGATTGAGTGCCAGCCTGAGAGCCAAAGGGTTGCCAGTTCAATTCCTGGTCAGGGCACATGCCTGGGTTGCAGGCCAGGTCCCTAGTCAGGGGCACGCAAGAGGCAACCATACCTTGACATTTCTCTCTCTCTTTCTCCCTCCCTTCGTCTCTCTAAAATTAAATAAATAAAATCTTTAAAAGAAACAAAAAGAAAATATAGCCCTGGCTGGTGTAGCTCAGTGGATTCAGAGCTGGCCTGAGAACTGAAATGTTGCCTGTTCGATTCCCTGTCAGAGCACATGCCTGGCTTGTGGGCCGGGTCCTGGTTGGGGGTGTATGAGAGGCAACGAACCAATCACTGTTTCTCTCTCACAGCAGTGTTTCTTTCCCTCTCTTTATCCCTCCCTTCCCCTCTCTAAAAACAAATTAAATGACAAAAAGGCATCATTAAAATCAATTGTTATATATATATATATATATATATATATATATATAATGAACAGACTAAATAAATAAAGTTTCTCCCTTGAAAGGTGACATGTAACATTATTCTCAACTCAGGAAAAACAAACTTTTACTTTTCACCTTTAACCTGCAATATATCTTTTTAATTTAGCAACAGGTATCAGTGCCTTGTTTATATCTACCCTTAGCAAAAACTTATTGAATGGCTGCTATTTAGAGCTCACTTTGATTTTTATATCATTTTTGAATTAATACAAGAAGTTGAAGTCATCTTGAAAATTTCCCTGTTCACACATCCATCTGGTACCTTTCCTTATGGTTATCAACTTTATTTTTTCAGTTGTTTGTTGTTTGTGTTTTTGTTGTTTTTTTTTTCTGTCCTACAGGTCCTATTTCCAAGACCAATGGGAAAAGTACCTAAAACTTAGAGGGATTTTGGATGGCAAATCAGCCCCCACCTTCCCCAAGCCCTATGATGTGAAGGAAAGGGACCAGTTCTACACCTCGGTGAGCTATTCTGGCTGGGGTGGCAGCAGTGGACACGACGCCCCCATGATTGCCTACGATGCCATCCTGGCCGCAGGAGACTCTTGGAAGGAACTTGCCCACCGAGCCTTTTTCCATGGGGGAGACAGTGATTCTACGGCTGCCATTGCAGGCTGCTGGTGGGGAGTGATGTATGGTTTTAAAGGAGTCAGTCCCTCCAACTATGAGAAACTAGAATACAGAAAGCGGCTGGTAGAAATAGCCAGGGCTTTACATTCTCTTGGGTCAAAGGAAGATACTGTAATTGCCCTTTAGGGAAATATGATGTTCATTTCTGGTGGTTTTTTCCCTTTATAGTCCCTTTTCTGCTCAGTTTCTTTTTACTTTTTCTAAAATCGAGTCATAACCTTGTACTTAGGAAATTTTGAGATAAGTCCCTTTGGCACCGGAAACTCAGTCTTCTCAGGCTCCTTCTGTTCTTCCTAATTCTATCCATTTTCCTATCATGAAGAGTCTTTGCCTCAGTTGATGGGGTTGGCATCTCCCAAGCTAGAAATCTCATAAAGCCTTTTTTGAACCTTTATTTACATCAGCTAATCTTTCACTAATTTTTTTTTTCTGTTGTGTCAGGTTGGGTTCCCCCACAAGCGGACTCAGACAAAGATTTGAGTACAAGTAGTTTATTTGAGAGGCGATTCCAGGGAGCACTGGTAGGACCATGGGGATGTGAGACAGGGAAGGCAGGGGAGACAGCGTGGGCAGGTTACCGCTGTCAGCAAGTGAGACTCAGTCCATTTGGCTTCGCTTTGTAAGGCATTCCTCACAGTGGTCCCACCTGAGGTACAAGCAGATCTGGGTTTGCTTTTTTATCCACTGACTTCCATCTGACATTGGAGGCCCTCACTGCTAAGTTCCTGGTGCTTCTTAGCCTGCCTCTTGTGCAAGCCAAACATTAATGTCTCAGGTAAAGACTCAGATGTTTGCAACAGCAAGCTGTAAGATACAGGGGAACAGCGAGCATTGTATGTAGGGTCCCAACAGAATCTGCTAGATGGTTCTATCTCCTAAATATCCTTTAAATTTATCACCTCTTTTACCTTCTTGCACCAAGTATTTTTCACTTGGGTTTCTGAAATCCAGGCCATTCAAGTCTGGGGAGATGATGCTCCTAGCAGTTGTTTGAACTTTCCTGGGCATGGCACTTAGCGTGTTATTAGTTTTTTGTTGCCTATTTACTTGTATTTATTCTCTAGACAGAACCTAACACACAGAAATATGTAATCAGTATATATCAAATGAATGTTGTTAATTAGCCTCCTATCTCCAGTCTTGCCTTCTTCATTACCCTGCAGAGTTATCTTTACTAATAACAAATCGATTATGCTGAACTTCTAAACATGTTCAATGACTACATAAGCCCCTCTTTTAATTTCTTGATGCTCTTTCCTCTCTTTTTTTACTTTGTAAGTTCATACTGATCCTTCAAGCCTCAGCTCAGGTACTCCTAGGTAAAAACTGCTCTGATTACTCAGGCACATGGTGGCTTTCTCCTCGCTGCACCCACAGCCTTCTGTCCCTAGCTTCACCACACTGATCCTTTCATGTGGCAATTGTCTTCTGGGTCAACTTCAGGGCTCCCTATGAGAGATCGTGTCTTACTCTCTTTGTGACCTCTCTGCCTGGCCCCTGAGAGACATTTAACAAATGCATAGTCTGAAAGTTCAGGATTTGTTGATGTGAATGCATTCTACATGCATTTCTACCTCTGTTTCCTGTGCCTTCTGCTTCATGATTGCCAGGAGTGACCTGGCCAAGATACGCTGAGAGAGACTGAAAGTTTGATGCTTTAACCATGTCTGTGTGCTGACGCAAATGAGACAAGGCTCTCAGCTCTGTATTTGAAGCAGGACTCCGGCAAAGGCATTGGATTTCTCATTCTTTTATACATAAAGGGAGAGGGAAATCCTGAAGCTCTTTTTCTGGCTCAAAAAACTGTCACACATATTTATGTATTTCAGAAAAAAAGTGTGTTTTAAGTATTACAAGTAGGACAGTGGATGCTTCAGCAGGGCAACCAATCAGAATTGTAGACTTTTAGGAATGGTGGGTTACAATTCACAGGACATAGTAATAATCTTTTAAAATTCAGGTGTCTTAAAGGACTCTTTTGTATAAATATTTTGAGGACAGTGTTAGAATAATAGAAAACAGTATATACATTTTTACACAAGATTCCTGAGGAGACAAGTAAGTTGGAGAATCTCAGGTCTACTTTCAATTTCCCACCTGATAAAAACTGACTTTATAATGCTGAATAGCGTGTTTATCTGTGGTTGTAGAACAGAAACCATTTTCTTGAGCATGTCGCTTGTTGAGATGGTTGGGTGGTGGTGCTTTGATGTGGTCTGAAGCTGTCCCCTGGGTGTGCTGGCTCTATGTCCTTCCAGGAGGCGCAGGCCAAGGTCAGCCGCTGCCTGAGCTCTGCCTGGGGCCTCCCAGCATGAGCTACAAAACAGTCTGCTGATGGCGCTACTTGTGCTGGGCCTGGAGGTGGCCAGGCTAGGTCAGGCTGTGCACCAAGGCCAGCTACCGCTGGTGCCTGGGGCTACTTAGAGTTATGGGGCGTGCTGAGGCCACATGCTGCTTGTTTGAGAGATTATAGGAAAGTCTGATGCTTGAGCCAAGACAGACAATTTGCATGAAAAAGCCACTAGAAACGTCATAGTGGGTGGCGTGGGGCCTCAGGGAATCACCAGTTCAGGGAACAGTGTGAGCCTGGTTGATGGAGACTTAGACATGGCGCCTGCCTACTACCTCTGTGGAGAAGGGGCTCAGCAAAGGAACTGTGGACAAAAAGGGGCCACATGCTAAACCTGAAAAGCTCAGGGGAGGCCTAAGTAGCTGTCTTTCAAACTCAGGGACCTAAGGTAACCACATAGGACGGTCTGAAATTAAAAACTTTCTAACTGAAAGCAAGGCATGGCAGGCAGTCATATCCCAGGCTAGAATTTTCCATGATAAAAAGTGAATCTTTACCTTAATTGAGCCTGTCTCTTGTCTTTTGTGTCTATGATAACAAACCTTTGGAACATCAAGGTAACTTCCCTTTTCCAAAACCCCTCAGGCACAACCACCCACCAGAGCAGAGACCACAAATCCCTTCATTGTTTTGGTGTTAATTGTTGACCAGTTAACTATCTTGTATCCACCTATGTAAAAGAAGCCTGTGTCTCTCATTTTACTTTTTATCCAATTCCAGAGGTCCCCCTTGGCTTTCTCCTGCCTCCCAAATCTATCACCAGTGGATTTCATGTAAACCTCTTACCCATCCTCTTTTGATTGAAATGTATAAGATAAGGTGCAAAACTGCCATTTTTCAGAGCATTTTCTCAACTCATTGAGGTTTTGCTTCCTAGCAATTGTTGTTGTCAGTTTGGCTCAAATAAACTCACAAAAATTCGTACAAGTTTGGACTTTCTTATGTTGACACCACCTTCCCTGCCCTACAGGAGGGAAAGGAAACCTCCCCACAGAACCATGACTCATGAATTTTCCTGCAAATCCCAGGTTTTCAGCTGGCGGAGGTGGGGAAGGGAGGTCTAATCACAGAGCAGTTCTGCTACCTCCTTGTAAGTCCTACAGGGATTCGGCTTTCCAAATCCTTCAGTCTTTTCAGAACATGGTGAGGAATGGGGGCAGGAGGGTGAGGGACTTAGTTTTTGTTGTTTTATGGTGTTAGATTTTAGCTACAATTGGAGACAACAGAGAAAGACTCTTTAGATATCCTATTATGTTTGCTTTGCAGATTCTCACTTTCATCACAGACATACTTCAAAAAGAGTTTAGACTTTCAGACTCCATTTTCTCAAACCTCAAAACTTCTTCCCCAAACTCAACTAGTGCCCTTGCTTCCTATTTCTCTGAGGAAAAAAAAGAAGCAGTCAGAAGAGAGCAATGGCGCACTCCCATCAGTACCTCTGCCCATCCACCTGCACCTGGGCTGGCGGTCTCTGGCTTTTTTCCTGACTGTGAATGCTAGTGTGTGGTGCCTGAGTGTGTGGGGGAAGGGAAAGGATGGAAAGGGGACAGGAGGTAGACAAGGTAGACAAGACAAGAACAAACATGGGAACGAGGTAATAAATTATAAGCACAATGTTACAGAAATCAATAAAAATAACCTGAAACAGTATGAATTTGTCATGCACATCAAGTTAATATAAATACACTGAAAAACAGAATAGGTCATGTGTTTTTGACCTGCTATGTGATGATGCTGCATTTGCTTTCTTTGTTACTTAAGATTTCTAGATGTTGTCCAGAAGTCTCAGCAGTACATACCTTTTTAAGATACGCAAAATTAACTTTGGCCTCATCCACCCTTACCCAATCTTCTTCCACCACCACATTTGCCATTTATTCTTCTATCTCTGTCTCTCCAGCGCAAGTAAATGTGCGTTTTTTTCTTTTAACAGCCAGAGAGCTCCTGGGAGTGTGGGGGAAGGAATGGAGACGCTGCTCATTTCACAGTCAGTCCGGCCTACGGGTTAACTCCTTGAGGAGCGGCTGCTGGGGTCTGGTTGAAGATCCAGGGGTTATCCAGAGAGGGCATGGGAGACAACCTTGCCATCAATTTTTTCATCTTTGGGGTTTGGTGTTTGGGAAAGTGACATTCAGGAAGTAGGTGAGACTCTTTCCATTTGGAGAAGGAAAAAGAAGAGGGGGAAGGAAGAGTTGCTGTGTGTCCAGCACTTCACCATAGCCCATTAACAGAAAAAGAAATTAGGCTTAGAGATGTCGCCAGTTGTCCAAAGTCACTTGGCCAGGATGAGGTGGAGCTGGGATTTAAACCCAGGATGGTGTATCACCTAAGCCTTTTTTTCTTTGCATACCCTCTACTACGCTCTAATTACCTATAGTTAGAAATTTTTTCCTTAGACAAAGCCAAAATAAAACCCAGGAGTGAGATGGTGATAGCAACAGCCTGTGCCCCCTCTTCGCCTTCCCACAGCTATGAGGTAGGGTCAAGAGGAAAGCTAGTTGTGGATCTGAGATCCATGTTTGGGACAAGTGGGGGCAGGGGGCAGAGCTGAGACCAGGTAGAACTGAAATGGACAGAGTATCTTCATTCTCCTTTCGTTTTCTCAAAGAGCTTCCTCTCCCTCTGCCACCAAGAGGACCCCATCCAATGCCTGGGTCATGATGTAGACTTCTCCCCCTACTCTGGCTTGATTACACTTGCCTCACTTAAGGTTCCTACTGAAACCGGAAAAGCTGGTGTTCGTGCTGCCTGTCAATAACCAGAACCAATTAGCAGAGACAGGGATTGAATCTTTATGGGTGCTTTATTCAGATGGCCAGTGATCTGTGAAGATGGTGGGTTATGCACCCTAACAGACCATCTTAAATTCCATTTTAAACCAACCCTTTTTATTAGGAGAAGAAACATGTAGGTAAGAGGTTTAGAATTTAGGGGAAGAGTTAATCAGATAAAAAGGCACAGCATTCTTTCATCTGGGTCCCGGGTGGTGACCTTTATCTGTGTCCTGGGCAGTGGATGTCTCACCCTGGAATAGCATGGCCCAGATACCGTCTTGAATTCCATGCAGTCCCCCTAAGGCACAAAGGTAGAACTGCTTATGGTCTCTTGGAGTCAAGGTGGGTCATACCTTTGGTCCTGAAACAATAGCTTTTTATATACATTGATTACTAAACTTATTTTTTTAAAGATTTTATTTATTCATTTCTAGACAGCGTGGGAGGGAGGGAGAAACAGAGGGAGAGAAACATCAATGTGTGTATGCCTCTGGTGTATCCCCCCACCGGGGACCTGGCCTGCAACCCAGGCATGTGCCCTGACTGGGAATTGAACCAGGATCCTTTGGTTGGCAAGCCGGTGCTCAGTCCCCTGAGCCACACCAGCCAGGGCTACTAAGCTTATAAACTATTACCTAAAATTAAAATATTCCAACATTTGAACCGCCACCCCATCACTGTTACACCTTTTTGGGCCTTGGTATCGTCATCATCGTCTGTACTAGCTAGGTGGTCCCGGGATATTGCCCCCTGTCAGGGTCTCTGGGCTTGGAGCCCATGGACTTTCAATTATAACTTCCAAAGAGCATGAACCTTGAATGAGGTTTTCTGGAGATGGGGGACAGAATCCAAAAGAGAACCCTTTGGTTTCCCCTGATTTACAGAGCTGCAAATAGAGGTTTGTACTTCAAACCAGTGTTTCCTGTCATTTTGGATGCTGTATGGGCAATCATCTCCCATTGTCAATGTCAGTAGGTGGAAGTTATATAAATGAAAACTTGAAATACATATTAGCATAGGTGGTAAGTGGATAGAGCAGGAGTAGGGAAGGTAGAACCTGAATGAATGAAATTGGGAAACATGACCTTGAGCAAACAAGTGACTCTAGCAGGATGATTTTCACTGGAGACTACTATAGTGGAGGCAATATTTGGTGTGAGATGGGATTTTTGGTGTTTGTTATTCCACACCAGCTCTGGATCCAGGAGCCCGACGTACCATGCCTTCTCTGAGCAAATACTTATTGAGCAACAGCTATGTGGCAGACACAGTGCTAGGCACTGGGGATACTATAGTGAGAACATCACCCCGGAATTTTGCCCTTCTGAGGCTGACATTCTCCTTGGGGCACATACACTGAAAATAAATTGGTGTTTCCTCAGTGTCTGCTGGTAGAAAAATTCTCTATCTTTGACTTCTAAAATATACCACTACACTTCCTGTGTTACCCAACTAAAAGGGTTCATTCACCTGCACACACCAAAGTCCAATCAAACACAAACAGGAATTTGCAGCAAAGAAAGTAATGGTTTATTTAAGGAAATGGTGCCCAACCAGGAAGTACAGGTGAGCAATTGTTCCAAGACCTGACTCCCCAATGGCTTCTAAGGAATGGGTTATATAGGGGAGAAATCGTTAGTCATGGTAACTAACAGAGTTGGGGTTGTGGTCTCTACTTATTGGCTGGCCCTTGGTTAGGGGGTAGCTGATTGTTGCATCTGGCTCTGATGTAAGCCACAGAGTAAGAAACTCTGTCCAGTTTCATGAGTATGTGATTGGTGGAGTCATTCTGCTTTTCTAGGTCTGGACCTGAAACAACTGAAGTTTAGGTATTAGCTCGAGTTTGACTGAAACTCTGTCTCTGTGAACAACACACCCAAGGCTTTGTTCCTAAGATTATTCGATTCTGACAAGAACCTCATTGTCCCAAGAGCTCAATGATTAAGGGAGTGTGAGAGAGAGAGGGAGGTGAGTGAGCCTGGGCCTTGGATAAGGCCAGTTTAAATCAAAAGGAAAGAAAGGAGAGAAGATCATAGTGAAGAAATGAATTGTCTGTGTGGTTACACTTGGCCTCTTAAGCAGTGCTCCCCAGGCCACTGGCCTTTCTGAACTTTAGCTTCCACACTGGTAAAATGGAAATGGCTACAGTAAGAATTAACAGAAGACTAGTTGTTCTGGCATGCATGTAAGCCTTTGAGAAATCCTCTGGAACTGCAGAGTCCTGGGCCCAACTCCAAAGATTCTCATTCAGCGTGTCTGGGATGGATCCGGCAAACTATTCCAAGTTGTTGGGGAATTCTGGGGCAGGTGGCCATGAATGGGACCCCTCCATCCCCACTTGGAGAGCACTGTAGTAGGTGATGAATGTAAAAAGGCAAGTACTCTCTAAAGGTCACTGGTACTAATGCCACACATAAGGAATTGCTAGAATAACTGGCTTGACATACCAACTCTGGCCTTGCTGTAGGTGGCCCTGAAAATGCAGCCCTCAGTTTCCTGCTGTGGGGAGCCTAATCCTTTAATGGTCTCAGTTGCTGCCTTTCTGAATCTTCCCTCCATCTTTGTGCTGAGGCTGACCCCAGCTAAGAACTGAATAGGGTGGGGCTGCAAATACAGGCTTATTACTGTAAGATAATAGATAGCTGAAACAGGAAATTTCAGCTTGAAGATTCCCCATTGCTCTGGCCGGAACATTCTAAGCACCTTGGGGAAGTCCAAGACTTTTTCTGTATAATTTTCTTCCCTTCCCCCTCTCCTGCATCAAGGCCCAAAGGCTTTGCCTGTCTTCTTTACTTCCCTTATTCTTCACAAGCGTTATCCAATAATTCTCTTGCCCATCGAGTCCCATCTTGGCATCTTCTGCCCTGAGGACCTGAACTAATACACCTGACTTGATCTCTGACATCAGGACAGCCTTCAGCAGAGCCCCCATTTATTGCCACACTCCGTCCCAGTGGCAGCAGGGCTTGATCAGTGGGGTCACATGTATGAGGGGAAGCAAGGGCCAGCCCCTCTGAAATCATCTCATCCTCATCTTTGGCGGGCCTGGCACAGCCACGCTGGCAGGGTACCAATGCCTCCGGCGGGACTGTCGCTGTCTGGTGCAGTGGTTCAGAGCATGGCCTCCCAGGCTAGCTTGTCCTACTTCAGATCTCAAGTCTGCATGGCCCTGTGCAAGTTACTTAATCTCTGTGCCCTAAAACTGTGTGAAACGTGTATGTAGACAGGACTCACTTCATGGAGCTATTGACCAGAAAGGTTACTAGCCACGTGCGCAGGTTCTCTGCGTCATAGTGAAGTGCTACAATTTAAGGAGCTGGGCAAGTACCCTGCCCTTCCCCTTCCCCACATGCCTAGAACTAGCTGCCTGTGCTGTCAATCCTTTGGGTGGAAGAAGCCACAAGGTACACTGGAAATGCCCTGGTTTCAAACTGGCTCTAACACTTTTAGCAACAGGGTCATTTTCTTTTTCTACTATTCACTTTATTTGTCAATTCAAGAAGGTGGACGTTTCTTCCTAAATGGTTGGATTTCACTTATACCTCCAAAACTCTCTGAAAGACTTTCACTCTTTAGAGGCAAACTTCGTCTTCTTTCATTCTGCCCATTAAATGTAGTACATTAAACATGTATTATTAGCTCAGCTCTGTGGTAGGCGCTGGGGATTCAAAAATGTAGAGAGAAGGTCTTTGCCCTCAAATTGCTTAGAGTTTTCTTAGGGAGACAAACACATCCACAGATAATTCCAATACAATGAGGGTTTTGTAATCACCTAAAGATGAAAGACTTCTGCTTTGGTTTTTACTAACATTTTGTAATGGGAAGTGGGAGAGGTGCAGGAAATAGTTTCCTAATGATGTTTGGTTCAAGGAGGAAGGACAATGTGTTTCAATGTCCCCTGCTTTTTAAAAAAAAAAAGAAAATAAAAGAAAGGAAAATGAAAACTATATTTATTTTCACTGATAAAAAGGAACGGAAAAACTGTGGAGGTTGAACAATTAGGCAGTTTATTTTTTCTTTTACAGGTCGTGAGGCTAGTTAATTATTAGTGAGACCCGTGTCGGTGTTTGGTGTTCAAAACTGTGGCCGGCTGGGCTATTTAATGTCACCCCAGCTCTGAGACTTTCAGCTCAGCCATGCGCCCAGGCCTCTGGGAGAGATGCTTCTTCTGGTTGTGGGGGCTCCTTTTGTGGTTCAGCGTTGGAAGTGCAGGTAAATCGGGGGCTCAGGTCTTGGGTGGAATGATTCCGTTTCTCAAACCATTGCATATGCAGTGCTAACCTTTGGAAGACCCCCGGAAGGCCCTCTCTCCTGAGATGAATTTACAAGGGGGAAAAAAAGCCCTTTAATCATAATAGGAATGGTAGTAATCAGGGCACTTTCTCAAGTCAGGAAAATTGACTTCCCCTAGTTGTTCTACTAGTTGTTCTAAAACTCTCATTGTTCTTTTTCACCTTGCACAAGTCAGGATGACTGTAGGAAAATAAAATTTGATTAATTCCAAAATGTGATTCATTTTTACCTGATAAATATTCTCCATTCCAAGATATATTTAATTTTAAAATTTATATTTTCCAAACTAAAGTTTTTGTCACTGAGCTTGTTAGATATCCTTTTTCATATTGCTGACTCTACTCAAATTCAGGTTTATCATCCTTCCTGACAGAACACTGAAAAATAACTCGTCCCTGCCAATGGCGGATGATGGTTAAAACAACTTCCCTCAGATGCCATTTGCATTCTACCTTTCCCATTAAAAACCCTACCCACTGCATGCTTAATGTAGCAAATCGAAAGTCTCCTGTGGCATAGAGATTCTCCAACTAGTGAAAATCCCTGCCTGCCCCCAGCAGTGGCACCACCCTTGGAAAGCTTCCTTCCCCGTGGTCCCAACAGCAGATGGCTTTTCAGTCATCTCCTCAAGACATTTAATTCTTATTCCCTGGCTTTAGATTGTGGTCTTCCTTCTGCCTGGAGTTTCTTTTATTACCTTTTCATTCATTTAAGCTCTTCACAGCTTCCAAGGGAGCTTCCATGATGCATATCTCCCTTGTAACCCTCCATTCCTCTACTCAGCACTCCTTCCCTGCTCCAAAGTTCAGCTTGCATGAGTGTATTTACTATATGCATCAGTGGGTTGCTTTTAAAAGGTGCTGCCTAGCTCCATGTGTCATTTATTTGTGTGTGTATAAAATGACCACTATGTATACATGTTTGTGTGTGTGAGAGAGTGAGATAGAGACCCTTCCACATCAACACACAGAGCTATCTTGTTGTTGTTTTTTAAATGGCTGTTTATATACTATATTCTAGATCTGAAAGGATTTATATCTTACACATTTTTGATAGATGTGAGAAAAATTGCCCTGTAAAGAAGTTATAACTATTTATTAGTATGTGAACATAGCCATTTCCTTACCTCTCTGCGAATATTTTGTAGTATCAAATGTTTTTCACAGTGTCAATCTGATAGGAAAAATAATATTACATTGTTGTCTTAATTCTTATTTATTATTATGATTTCTGTTTCTGGTGTCTTGCTTAAGCAATCATCCTATAAAGATAATCTCTCATATTATTTTCTAAGTCCTGTGGACTAGTCCAATTAGACTAAAATCACCAGGGACAAATCCTTTGGTTGTGGAATATTTATAAAATTGTTTATTTTATTTTTTATTTTTAAAAAGTATTGAATTATTTATATTTCAGAGAGAGAGAAGGGAGGGAGAAAGAAAGGGAGGGAAACATCAATGCAAGAGAGAAACATTAGTTGACCGCCTCTTGCACACCCCCAACCAGGGAATTGGCCCACAACCCAGGCATATGCTCTGACCAGGAATCAAACCAGCAACCTTTTGCTTCACAGGCCAGTGCTCAGTCCACTGAGCCACACCAACCAGAGCTATTTTATGTATTTATTTATTTTTATTTCAGTCGTTCTTTTTCTTTTTATTTTTTTAATTGAATTTATTGGGGTGACATTGGTTAATAAAATTATACAGGTTTCAAGTAGGTATACAACTCTATAACATATCATTTGTATATTGCATTGTGTGTTCACCATCCAAAATCAAGCCTCCTTCCATTTTATTTTTTTAATACAATGTTGAATTTGATTTGCCACATTTATTTTTATTTTTGTATATATTTATATTATTTTGCATACATTTTAATAAAAGAAATTTGTTCATTATTTTCTTTCTTGTATTTTCCTTGTTGGTGTTGATACTAAGGTTATTATAACCTCATAAAATAAGTTTCTATTCTATGAAACATTTTTTATAAAATAAAGATTATGTGTACTTTAAAGTCTCGGCAGAGTTCTCAAATTAAACCATCTGGCGCTCGTGTATTTTAGAGTCAGAGAAGACTCTTGCTCGCCAATTCCATTTTTTGATGCTAGTAGGTTTATTTGGATTTTCTATTTCTTATAAAGTTTCAGTAAATTATATTTTTTTCCAGAAAATTATCCATTTCTTTTTAGTTTCCCAATACATTTGTCTGGTAGTTTTTAAGAATATCTTTTTATCATAAATGCTCTGCAGTTTATACTGCAGTCTGCCTAGTAGAAATTGATTTATTTTTTATCTTGCTCATTACCTTGAGTACAATTTTTGATTAGTGAATTCATTGCTTCTTCTCCCATTCTCTTCCTTTAGAGAACAACTACTAGGTAAATAATGTTGGAGCCTCTCCACTTATTGTGTGTACTTTTTAACTGTATTTTTATATTTAAAAAGTTTCTTTTATTTCTGTACTAGACATTATAGGATTTATTTCTTTTTTTCAATTACTTTATTTTTTCTCTCCAATGTTCTAATTAACTTTTTCTTAGAAATCTTTTTCTATTATTTATGCCTATTTTTACTTTCATAATTTATTATGCTCTGTATTTTTATTCTTGCATATTCTCAGCATACTTATTTTAAAATATATGTCAAATATATGTCAAAGGTTTTTTTAAACTTTATTTCACCTGGAATGAATTCATGATCCACTTTCTGGTTTTATTGACTGTCTTTGTAAACATTTAAATTCTTTATATATGTAAGCATTTTGTTTGTAGGCCATGTATTTATTTTTAAAAACCATTATTTTTATTTTTGTTAGATCCCTGAACGTTGACATCAAATTATTCCAGACTGATATGTTTACTCAAAAGTGTTTTTATAACAACAAAAGCAGTAAAACATTTCAAGAAAGAATGAAATAGTGGTGGTATAAAACTGTCATTAATATATAATATTTAATAGTATTAGTTTGATTTTTCCCCTATCACTTAACATAAATGAGCATAGTAGTTCAAAGGAGAAATATTGCACAATAAAACCAAACAAATAAAACAAAAGACAACTTATTCAAATTTTTCTTCTATGGTTTTTAAGCACAACCATAATCATAATTGCCATTTCCTCAAAAGTTTTTAATGAGTACAGAATAATGTTCAAACTCTAATTATGTTATGCAGTGTTTTCCCTTTAATCAGATCTCCAACTGCCACTTTAAATCTTTTTCCTCATAACCCCACCTAGTATATTTGGACATGGAGATATTGTCTACATTCTACATCAACTGTTGGACTGTGAGGACCTTGAGAACCAGATCTACTTATTGAACAACTTTGTATCCTCCTCAGAGACTAACACAGCGTTTGGCACATAGGAGGCATGGGAAAAGATTTATTAAATTAAAGTAATTTAAACAATGATGAAAAAAACCCCAGAAATTTTTAGGCACAAATATTACAAAAATCAAGTTTTATGTCTTTTTGTGGTCATCACTTATTTTTTATAAAAATGTAAGTATATTTTCAAAATAATTTGAGTGAGCATTACCATTTATTATCCAAAGTTAATTTTAAGAATAAAAACCTAGGACAGTACAAAAAAATTAATAATGCTTTTCTACTGTTTCAATATTTAGAAGATTGTAAGAATTCTTTTTGGCCAGTACCGTTTGCCTGATTTTACCCATATTTAAGAAAGTTTACCTCTGCCTTCCAGTCATTTCTGACATATAATTATCTCTGTTTTGCTAGCTTTAGAAAATATATCATCTTTACACAACCAACATACACTTTAAAATATCAAATTAATAAACAGTTTGGGAAGGGAAATGTTATGTTTATATTAATACCATTTAGGTTCACAAACACATCACTTAGACATTCTTTATTATCCATTATTGTTATATTATGAATATGCTAAGGAACATAGGTCCTTAAAGAAACATCATTTTAATTAAACTGACATTGGGAATATAAAAAAATGATTTTGTGAAAAGTTAGAGTAAATGTTTAGCAATGAAATAATATCCAAATTAACTTGCTAATATCTAATACTAGACTAACAAGCTGAATAATGGAATCTTAGCTCTGGTAAGAAATATAGAAGCTTTCAGAATAGAGGTATTGTCTTTATATCAGAAAGAGTATAAAAAATGAGTTTTATAAAAATAAGTTATCAGTAAATCTTTAAGAAGTAAAAATTAAAATAGCAGAAAAATTTTTTTAATTAATTAATTTATGTTTCCAAATACATTTAAAATAGCAGAAATTTTTTACTGAAATATCTGGAAACATTGATATCCCTCACTGGTGATAAATCCAATTGATTGCAGTCATGAGAAAAACAATTTTAAAATTATTTTTTACTAAACGTTGAATATCAAACAATTCCTTCCAATGTCTCTCGTGAAATAATGAAGAAGGATGATAAAAACTGATTTATAAAAACAGAAGTAAAACCAAACAGTGACAGGTTGTGAAGATAAAAAAGTAGTATTAATTTCTATGTGTGGTTTGAGTAATCATTCTCATTACTTTAAAATAAAATGATTAAAATCCAAACCATGATGTGTATAGTCTTGGAGCTGTATCAGTATTAGCTGCGTATAAACAAAAATGTCAACTACATTATTTTGTAAATACCCAATATATTTTAGGAAGTCATGAATTTTGTGATCATAATGACAATATCCACCTCTTTGCATTATTTACTATTTGGAACACTTCTTTCTCCTTGAAATATTCTCAGTCTTGATCAATTTAGATACCTAATATACAGCAGAGGTCAACAAACATTTTCTGTAAATTGGCAGATAACATATATTTTAGACTCTGCAGGCCGTACAGTTCTGTGGTAACTACTTAACTTTGCCATTGTAGCAGGAACCAGTCATAAATTATTTGAAAACAAATTAGTGTTACATTA